TTTATTATTTTCAGGTTTTATCAAATACTGCAATATTTAATAACGTAAATTCATAAATATAATTATTTTTTTATCATGACACGAGTTCTTTATATTGTTCTAAGAGTTGTTAGTTTCGTAAAATGCAAATTAAATTTAAAAATAAAAATATAATATAATCACATATTGCAGCACATATACGTATACATTTTGATTTTATGTCAGTCATGACTCCGTAAAAATTTTTAACCAGAATTATTTTATTAAAAATGAAATATATATAAGAAAATATTAACCATGCATAAAAATAAAACGGATGTAAATTATATTGTTCTACAAGAATTTCTTAATTATCTTTAATAATCAAATGAAAATGTACTGAAAATTATAAAACCACATTTGAGTTTGATTTATTTAGACTTTCTTTTAAATAAATGTAATTTAAAATCTTTTATATTCAAATTTTATTTTTTACCTTTTTAATAAATATAGGTTCAAGTCTACTTCGTATATAAATAAATATTACAGTTATAATGAACACACAATTGTACTGTTATTTTTTTAAGAGTCTAGTCAGACTAGTCAGAGTAAAAATAAAATACGAAAAAGTTTTCATATTATTGGAATTTTAATGAGCAAGAAATATTTTTAGTAATATTTTTAAAAAAAAATTTGTAAAACCTCAAAAGCGTTTTCTGGCTAAATTTGAAGATATAGAGCGTTTTAAAAGGGTTTTTGTGGTCACGTAGAACTTACTGATTCCGTCAATACTTTAAAAGGAAACAAAAGTCAATTATTTTTAGAATTTCGTGCCTAAAACCCGAATTATAAAACTACTGTTAAAATTCAATTTGACTGCAGAATATTATAGCATGATTTTTTGAAATGTTGTAAAAAATTAATACCGAAATTAATGCTATAATTTTGCTTACATTTTATTGTTTGACAAAAATTTATTATCTAACATTAACATATAACAGTAATTAACCTCAAACATGTCATAATATCACATTTTAATCCTCTTTTTTTGTTTTGGTCATTACAACAAAATATTTTCATACTTTATTGTAATATGCTTATAATTTAACCAAACATAATTTTACTTTAATTTCATGGTTATTATAGTGTGGGTTATAATTTTAAATTTTTCAATATTATTAAATGAATTACAATGTTATATTAACACAATATACCGGCATACATACATATATGGAAATCTACATAATATAATCATGTTATATAATATCAAAAACTTAACATTAAACTTATTGTTGTGGTATGTATGATAATGACCAATAAAGAAAAAATTTTTATCTACTCTACAATATACAATATGATCACAATCAAACAGAAGAAATTCAATTTACATAATATATATACTTGCATACATATATATATTTAGGTACCATTATGTGTGACCGATGAACTTATGTTTGAATCAGTTCGAATACTTTACAAAAAGAACAAAAATTAGAATAAAACAAAAAATATATATATATATATATTTTGAAGTTTTTACTTTGTGGGTTCTCGGTTCTCTTATAACATTTTATGTTTTATAATAAAACATACTTATACAAATACATGCATACAATGTAGGAGTGAGAAAAATACCAGGCGAACATGAAATTTCAGAATTTAGGAGATAAAAATTTCAAAGAAAAATTTTTTCTATCTTTAGAAAAAATCGTATACACTATAGCGGCTCTATAGAAATAATAAAATAAAAAAAAAAACAAAGTATTCATTCATTCAGTGGGCGATCAATGGTTTGATTGGAACAAGAGAATGGTGATTTATCTAAAAAAAGAGAAGTAAATTGAACATTATAGACTTTTTAATATGATTTTGGAATATAAATGTATTTAAATACAAGTTGGATTACGTAAATTGTAATTTCATGGTTGCAATGCTACAATTATTTAAAAATTTATTCTTTAACCCACTGACAACCGAAAATTTAATATTAAAATGCATGAAATGGTGGCAAACCAATCTGGTCACTCAGCATGTTATACATGATACGTGACTCAGTGTTTTGTATCTGATATTATTCGCTAATTAAAAAATAATTTAGAATATTTCAAATTTTATGGGAAATTTTAACTACAATTTTTGACAGAAAAATGACAGTTTTATCAAACTGCAAAAGTCAATTAACTTTGTAAACATCATTTAAGAATTTTTTTTGATAGATACAAAAAAAATGTAATTTGATTTGGAACGAAAATAAATACGAAATTTTTAGTTTCCATAATTTTTGAAATATTTAGTCATAAACTTCCCTACAAAACTGTGCCGGTGTCTATGTGTACATATGTTAATAATATTGTAGATCTTAAAAACCACAAATTTTCAAAATACTCAGCCACACACCTTATGCGTCTCTTGTCCATCGAATAATTAAATTTAAAAAGAAATAAAGATTACCCGAAACAGGTTGTTGATTGCGAGCGCTCCTATTTTAAATGTTAAGTTCATACATTTACATACATACATACATTCAAATGCGTATACATACATACGAGTGCCTACATGCATGTATTTCATGTTTCGGAAATATTTCGGGAATAAAAAAAAAATAAAACAGAAAATGAGAGAAAAGAAGCAAACAATAACGGAAGAAGAAAAATGTATAAAATAAAATGAAATCTAGTAAAAAACCACATAAAGCAAGATACTTTAAGAAACCTCAAAAAAGGACCACAAAATGTGAAAATATACATACATTTTTATTATATGTAAAAATATATGTAAATATATATAAAAGTGTATTATGTAAATTACGTACAACATATAAGAATAAAATGTGTATATACGAGCACATACTAATCCGCTAAACTTATGTGTGTTTATTTACATTTAAATATTATAATATGATTATACATATATATATATACAGTTATATATGTAAGAACGTGTGTATGTTACATGGTTTCCGGTTTCAGAAATATTATTTTTTTTAAATTACATTTTTATGATTTAAATTTCAATTATAATTTGTTATAACTTTAAACTCAAGAAGAGAATGGAGCTCATACACAATTGTATGTGAATGTACATAATTTATACGATTTGAAATTTTGTGTATTTGTTTAAAAGGATCCATTATTATACAAAGCTTATAATGAAAATCAATTTAAAGAAGGATAAAAGATATTATCATGTATCAACAATTATCCAATTCAAGTAAAATTGTATTACAATATAAAACAAAGAGAAAACACATAACATTTAAGTGCGTCATTTTATCCTTGAAAAATTGAACAAATTTCAATGTTAAATTGAAATTTAAAAGAATTGGGATGAAAGAGAAAATTTTGGGATTTCATTAGAAATGGAAATTTAATAACGAAAATTAAATAATAAATTTTTTCTTGAAATTTTTTATCCTTATTTTTTAAAAATTAATTATTTTGAATTAAAAATTAAAAATTTTACAAATATTTTAGTTGTTTTCTTTAACAATCTGTGTAACATTGGCAAAACAGAATCTGTTGTAAAGATTATATCACTTGGATATCTTATACATAGTATGCTAAAATTTTTTGAAGGTTTGTTTAAAAACTCAATTCTAAAATTTTAATTTTATTAGCCCTTTCAAAAACTGCTTGTGTGAGCTTTTAATCGTTTTCGCGAGTGAGGTTTTAAGTAAAAAATACTCGAGCAAATAGAAATTTTGTGAAAAATCGATAAAATTTTTGTATATCGGAAATCTTTAACATTTAACACTTGAGAAAATTTTTTTGTTCTAAACAAATTGTTTCTGTTTCATACAAAAAAAAAAAATTGTTCTAAGCCAAATTTTCTCCAATTTTACTCTAAATGATGGTATATTTTGAAACATTGATTACAGTATCAGTGATTACAGAATCAAAAAAATACTGTGCCAGCTACTGGGCCTTTAATCTATATACGGGAAGAATTTTCATTTTTGTCCATGTCTGCATAAATATAATCAAAATTTTTCATTGAAATTTAATAAACAAAATATCTTTTGTGGAACAGTTAAAAAAACAAATCTTTTGACTCATTTATCGGGGGTTGCAAACGGAACATTCAGTAGCGGTTGATTTTATTTAAAGACTAAATTAATTAATCGGATTGCTTGAAAATTAATTTTTAAATTCTGTTTGTAAAGGAAACTACAACTGAGCAACTATATAAGCGAACAGGAAACTCGGACCACAGAAAGTGAACATTCTTTTAAAAACCAAATTTAAATATTTTGAGGTAAATTGCTTAAGAGGCCATTATTTAGGAGGATTTTTAATATTATTCTGAAAATATACATTTCTGTCAGTTATGTGCTGACCACACCAAATTTTTAATATATGCGTTATCAATTATATAATAATATAAATTTTATTGTTTGGAAAAGTTTGTTGTTACACATGTGTTCCAATAAATTCAAGATTATAAATAATATTATTTATTTTCTAAGTTTGAAAACTATTAATAGCCGCAATGAGTAATTTTTTTTAATTAAAACTAAAATTAAATTATTTTTACTGATAATTTTCTAATGGCAAGGTCACTGTTTTATCAAGGAATTATGCAATATTTTTGCAAGAAAAATTAACAAATATTTTTTTTTTCTAATATTTTCAAAATTTATGAAATGAAATCTTATAATCTTTCATTACGAGTTAAAGGTCAAAAAAAAATTAATAAAATTTTGTGATTATAGAAAAAAATTAAATTGAATATTAATTTTTTTTACTGAAAGTTCCACCTTAATCAATTCAACAGACTATGTTTACAAATTTTATAATCTTAACAAAAAACTTCCACAATTTAACAATATACAAAAAATATTTTCAGTTATATTTTAGCCGCTTTTCTGAACGTTACCTCTAAAAAAATTAAGTAATTTTCTGTGGAGCTGACATTATTCAATTAACTTAATTTTCCAATAAAAATTCCAAAAATAAAATCAAAAATGAATAGCAATTTATTATTTGGAACATTATTAATATTTTGTGGTTTAATATCATTCGTGAAATTAAATTCCATTCCAGTAGAAGACACTGACACTGATATTATCAATTATATAAACTTAATTAAGAAAAATACAAATACTTCTGCAGATAAATGTCAAAATTTCACTTTGTTTGCTTGCAATGATATGATTAAGGAACATAAAACAAATCCTGAAGCTTGGTCATCATTAGTTGAATATTTTTTAGCAAATTATAAGCCAGTAAGTGATGCTGAAAAGAAAATTCATCAATTATATTTAATTGTAAATGAATTTGAACGGAAACAAGATCAAAATATTGAAAGTAATTCAAAAATTATATTTGAACAACTTGATATTTTTAAAAATATTGCACCACCATTATCATCGACAATTGAATCGCCAGATAATATGAAAAATTCAATTAAAATTTTAATAGCTGAAATGAATTCAATGTTATTAGATATTTTCCATTATTTTATGTTTGAGGATAATGTATTAAAATTATATCCAAGCGGTGATAGATATGTATTTGTTACAGAAATTCCAGATGATTTTTTTAAATCATTCTCAAAGGATTCAAATAAAATAGAAAATCTTCAAAATAGAATCAATAAATTCCATGAAGAATTAAAAGAATTTGCAATTGAAGCTAATCCAAAAGAATTTAATAATACATTAGAATTGAATTCAATTGATGATTTAAAAAAATTAATTCCAAATTATGATTGGGATCAACATATTAAAATTTTAGAAAAAAATTGGAATCAAAGTTTAAACAATAAAAAAATTAAAGTATTTGATTTAAATACACTTAAGAAAATGCTTAATATAATTGATTCTACAGATCCAGAGACACTATTAAATTATATAATTGGAAAAATGATATTAGCAATAGATAGTATGCCAACATCAAAATTTGAAATCTTTTATAAATATGCAATAATACGTCGTTTTTGGAATGAAAATTTAACACCAGAAACTGTTAAAACTTATAAAAATTATTTAGATGATTTCGAATTAAAATTAAATGAAACTTTTATTAAAAATCCAGCTAATTCACAATATAATTTAAAATCAATACAAAAATTAATAAATGATAAACGTTTTGTATTAAATAATTTTAAAACAATAATCACAGATGAATTTCTAAATGATTTTTACGGTAATGTCAAAATATATCCAGTTGATTCGTTTTATAAGAATATTTTACAATATATTCATAATTTATTAGGAGTTTCTATGAAATACATGAATCGTGATAATGATAAAATTTTACAAACTATTGTTATTTATGAGAATACCATTGAATGGGATGTTAAAGATAAACCATTAGTTTATTTTAATACAGTTGTAGAATTTAATTTATGGTATTCATTTTTCAAACAAAATCAAGAATTTAATAATTTTCCAATTATTAATGAATGTCTAAAACAAGTTAATGCATCATTAGACTACACTAATACTGAAATAGAAGAAAGAGAATATATTGATAGATTATATTTAAATAGTTATGCTGCATTAAAATATACAATTATGCAAAATAAATTTAATATAAAATTAGAAAATAATGAAAAATTAAATGATAAAGAGAAGAAAGAACGTTATTTTTATATAAATTATGTTGGTATTGCACAAAATATGTGTTTATCATCAAAAAATGATTTTATTCCAAATATTGCGATTTCATCATTGTTTCAACATTTAGATGAATTCAAAGAAATTTCATCGTGTAGTAAAGATTCAATGTTAGTTAAAGGAAATGCTTGTAAATTAAAGGATTGTCCAAAAGAAAATATTTTTGAAACATTTCCAAATTTGGCACCATTCAAAATTGAAAGTTGTAATTGAATAAGTTTTATATGAGCTTAATAAAATTAAAAAAAAAAAATTTTTAATACATGATTAAATAATAAATTTTTTTAATTAATAATATTGTTGTTTTTTAATTGAAAATAAGCGAAAAATCTAAATCTAAGACAAGTAAACTGGATGGGAGTTAGATGGGATTGGATGGGTTAGATGGGAGAAACTGGCGCATATTGTTAATTGGTAAAATAAACTTGAATGTGTTCAATATTGTATAGTATTTATAGAATATTTATCGAATCCTGTTTGACTGTTCTTTTTTTCAAAGTTATTTTTTAAGAAAAGTTGCTCTAGAAAGTTGCTTTAATAATGAACCAAAAGCAAAATATAGGGCAGAATTTATATGCTAAAGTTCTAATCACAAGTATGAGAATTTCACAATTTAATCTTCATTTGTATTAGCTGAAAACGCACATGGCCTTCAAAGACTGTTGTTCACATTTAACACAGTTGCCGAACATTACAATATGAAAATATCGATCGAGAAAATGAAATCAATGACTATATCGAAGGAACCAATTAGGTGAAAAGCGATAGAGCAAGTCAATCGCTTTAAATACCTCAGTGTCGATATTACTAATTCCCGACAAGTTGAAAAAGAAGTTAGTTTTCAGACCGCTAAAGAAACAGCCATCTCCGGGAACTTACGCGATGTTATTTGGAAAAATAAATACATGTTAATAGACAATAAAATCCGAATTTACAAAACCTGCATTCGACCAATAATGACATCCGTAGTAGAAAACAGGGTCGATGCCGCGAAGACAGGGCAAATATTCCGAAGAACAGAAATGAAAACTCTTAGGCAAATATGTGGATATACGCTGCGAGATAAAAGGCGAAGCGAAGATATAAGATCTATACTTGCGAAATACAAGATGTTGTTCGGTGAACTAGATTTAAACGGAGGAAATGGAGAGATCATGTAAATAGCATGTTAGAAGACAAAATCGCAAAAATTTGCAATGAATAGCAAGTCGAACACCAGAAGACCAGCAGGAAGACCATCTAAAATATGGAACGAATGCTGGACCTCTTCATCATATGACTACGAAAATTAAGGCTGCATTTATATGAAAAACAGGGTCGTAGCCTAAAGAAGAAGAAGAAGTTTTCATTTAAATTGTATAAAAAGAAGGAACCCACCAAATTGTAAAATTATGTAGAGCCCCTCTCTAAGTACAATAGAATATATTTCTATATATTATCAGTGTTTCCTATTTGCCTTTAAGAACAAAATGTGATTTTCGAAGTTTTTTAGTTGAAAATAATAATTCTATTATTCCTTCCTTATATCAATACTTTGTTAGTTTCTTTAAAAAATTGATTAATCCTATAAATATGCAGCATAACTATGGTGTTGATTCGAAAAGTTTTTTAATTTTTAATGTATCAGGAAGCAAGCCGAATAAAAATGGTCCAAATTTATACCATGTCGTAACTCGAAATGTCGTATTAGAAGATGTCGTATCTAGAGGACTTAGTGTAATTATAACATTAAAATACTCCAAAATGTTCACTACTGCAATTTAACTTGACTTTCACATAAAAAATGTTCACATTATTAAATTGCAATAATCTCCAAATAATTTAAACATTTTAAGAGCATAATATCCTCAACTTTAATAATAAGTAAAGACAACAAAGTAAGTTTACTTAAATTTATTCAAGAATCTTAATTCTCTCATTGAAAGCTCATTAAAAATAGCAAATAAGAACTTTCACAAAAACAAACAAGTCACATAATTTCCTTTTTCATTAAATTTCATATTCATCCCTTACATTATTTCTTTTCTCCTTTTCTAGTTTTAATTCCTTTTTTTTTTTTACATAAACGTGTGCTTTTATATTTTACCTATTATTCATTTCTTTTTGTTCCCTTAATTTTATAAAAAAAAACCAAACATATTGTTAAAATCTTATCTTTAATCATTTTAGGTTTATAACATACTCAATTGAATATGAATGCCACCATATGGCCGTTGTTCTGCAGAAACATTGAAAGCAGTGCCGTGTTAAAGACTAATTTTTCTTTTCATTTCCACACGTTGAGTCATGATTCTTCCTTGAGTTATTCTTATTGCCTGAAAAGTGCAGCGGAGACTGCACAATCTCGTAAGTTCATTAGGACATTGCCCTAGCAGCTTCGAGGTTGAATGAATGCACGGCAGTATCGCACCTCGTCTATACATGACTGACGCGATACCTTGTAACACGCACGTATCCACTCCTAAAACGACTACATCAATTACCACAGGCAGTTAAATTTTGAATATAAAGGTTTCGAAACAGCTTTGAAAATCATTGTTTAAAATATTTTATTTTTATACCGAAACCTTATTATCCTGAATTTCGAACAATGTTAATAGTCTCAACTTTCTTCAATTATTTCAATTCTTTATTTCTGTATTTTGTTTTTTTTTATTACTTTTATATAGATATACTTTCATTATTCTTTTGTTTTAAATAAATATTTAAAACATTATTATAACAACCTGTTGCGCCTATAATTATGCCTTATAGCGTCATATATTTCTATTATAATTATTCATACAAAATATAATAAAAAATACTATTGTAAAGCTTATTACACATAAATATTTCTTTTCTCCTCCTATCTCTTTCTGCTAATACAACTTAGATGTACAATTTAAATGTATATGAATGTGACGGTTTTATATTATAGTTTACCTTTATCTAGAAATTATAAACAGGTATATTTTATAATGCATAAAATAAGGCGTACTATAAGGGAAGATTTTTATATTTATTTTTTATTCTGAACGAATGAATGAAAGATAAATTTGTTTTCCTATTTACGTGTATTAATTTATACCTATTTCTACATATACAGTTCACAATATGATAAATGCATTCTTTACAATTATATTAACATATTTACATTGTATGCATTTGTGTATGCATAAATGTCTGCGTGTACTATGTAGGAACAATAAGATTTTCTATAAAAGAAGAAGTGCATTTTGAATAATAAAACGTTTCGTCAGTGATGATTGTAGTTAAAAGAAAAAGAATGAAATTTTTATAATATATGAATACGAATGATCCTTATTCACGCAACCATATACATACATACATTTACACATATAAAGTAAGATTAACAGGAACAGAAATTGTATAAAATATTCCCCCTTATTTCATATTTTATTTTCAATTTATTTTAATGCAAGTAAAGAATATTGTTATAAATATAAAAAAAATTATTGTAAAATAGCTGTTATCTAAATAAAGAAACGGGTAAAGTAAAATAAAGGAAGTTAGAAATAAGAAAATGAATATTAGAATAGCTCATAGGTAGTTGCTTTTCTTTTGTTAATTAATTTTAATAGACCAGAAAGCGAAATTTTAAATGAAAATATTTAAGAATTTAAGATTACTCATTTTGTGTATATTTTCGAGCATATTATATTTTATGTAAATTATTCTTATAGCAGAAATAATTATGGTGCCTTGCCACATTACGGAGCTATATATAATCTCATTTGAATTTATTATATGTAACTGACTCATTAGATTACGATATAAGCCACAAGAGAAGCCTATTACAGTACTGGTATAATTGAAAATTTTAAAAAACAATTAGTTATAATGAGAATTAACTAAAATTTTAGCAAGCACAAATTATAGAAATTTTCCACTAAGAGCTCAGACTACTTTAAAAATATTAGCTCTTAATTAAGGGGAGTTCAAAAACGTAAAGCAAAATTGATAGTTTATTTGATTCCGACTAGATTTTCATCAGAGAAAGTAAAAATAAATATTCGTCACTTAAGAGAGGTTTTAGGGACAACCAAGTATTATCTGTAGATCATAATTTTAAGGATTCCTAGAACATAATGGGGTTTTATCATTTCAAAATTTTTACATACCGACGTTTATGGAGAAAATTTTTCATTTGACATAAGAAAAATTTAAAAATTTTTTGCAATTAATAGAGAGATCCTTTCTTTAATAATTTGTCTGCATAAGGAATAGTAGTGAAATAAGTTTGTAATGAATATTAGTGAAGTAGTATATTAGAATTTTTTCTATAAATTATTCAAAAATTTCCAAAATGTGTGTTGATTTATTCATTTCCAGAGAGTTTTCCTTATAAACCTTATAACTTAAGGCTTCAATTTTATACTTTTAAATATTAATAATTTGTTATCATTCTACAATTAATTTAAAATTTAATTTTAATGAAAAGTTATCTGAAATAGTCTATATTTTACGATTAATTATATAACTAACTATATTATAATTATAATCTTTGATTTAATACAGTATGTGGCCTCTATATACGAATTATACTCAGTACATTCTACTATTAAGTTGCAAATCATTGATCTCTCACACAAGAGATTCATAAAACTATAAAATATAATTTTATTCTAAACTTGCAATGGCACATTAGTGTAATGCATAAATATTTATAATATAAAATTTAAAAAACATTTTGTGGTTAACAGAAACATCATACTACACATTTGTATAGCAAGTTCTGATTTTATTATTGTAAGTTAAATGAAAAAATAATCTAATTATGTGCAGAAAAAAGTGAACCGGAAATCATCCAGACGT